GAAAAACAAAACAACAAAGAAACCTTTCCTGTGGTTACCCCCAACAACTGCTGTTTACTGTCTTTATTCTTTGACTATTTCAGTGCCAATTTAATGGGTGGGACAAAAGAGAAATACAAAGGTTTGGCAGTGTGGAGATGGGATGACTGTCCAGTGCTCTGCATGCCCTCCAGCAAATGTAGCAAAGATCCGAGAGTTTCCAGGAGGAGACAGGGACTCAGCCTCTGCTGTAGATTGGGCTTGAATGCTTTGGAAGCATCCCATCTAGGGATCCTTCTGTTGCCATATGGATGTGTATAGATGCTCTCAGACCTAGCATCACAATAATGTGAAGTGGGGCAATCGCTGAGAAATAGGACAGGACAAGACAAGACAAGACAGGACTCACAACAATGGCCCTTACAAGAGCCAGTTTTTGGATGTCTGCCAAAAAGAGCATTAACAAAAGGATACAATTATAACAATTAAGCAAAGGTTATTTGTCTCTTTCACCTACTCTTCTCTTGCTATTCACCCTCAACCCTGCAAAATCTAGAAGTGGAAGATGCTCTCTGCATGGCCTTGACTAAATCAGTATCTTGGTTGGTTTTCTGCTGCTGTAACTCAATACCATAGACTGGGAAAGTTACAAGCCAGTCTATTTGGCTCAAGGTTCTGGAAACTAGGAATTCCAAAGTGTGGCACCAGCATGTGGTGAGGGCCTTCTATCATAGCATGGTGGAAAGGCAAGTGAGAACCTGTGAGGCAGAGAGGATATCTAGGTAAACTGGTCCCTTTATCAAGATCTCACTTGTAAGATAATGGCATCAATCTGTCATTGAGGATATAGGCCTTGTGACCTAATTGCCTCTTAAAGACTGTCGTGTAAGCTGGGATGTAGCTCAGTGGTAGAGTGCTTGCTTAGCATTCACAGCCCTGGCAACACACAGACACACACAGACACACACACAGAGTTCCATTTTTCAAATTTATTACTATGATAATTAAATTCCAACAGAGTTTTAAACAGGATATTTAAACCATTGCAGCCAGACTGCACTTTTAACATTTCCAAAAGTCTGGAAACCTATGGGGTCTATTCAGGGCATTATCAAACACTGAAAATATTTTACAGGTGTTTCTGTAAGACAAAACAATAACTTAAGAGTTCATTCTGGTACACCAGTAGATTCACATTATTCGGTCAATTACTTATATGATGCTTCCATTGCCCTCCCCTTGACATTCATCTTTTAATGCTCTTCTCAGTCTTATATTTAAACATTTAAATGATAATGTTGTTTCACTCTTCATTCCAATCATGTACTTTAACACCATCTTTATTCCATACTCATGCTGAGACTGTTTCTCAACCTTACCTGTTATCAGAAATTTGTGTGTGTATATTTGTATGTGCACATGTGTTTGTATACGTGCGTGTATGTGCGGGTAAGGATTCATGTGTGAACATGTACCTGTGGAGGTCAGAGGTTGACATCTGGTTTCATTCCTCAATTGTTTCTCTGCCTTATTTTAAAAAATATTTTATTATTTTTATTTTAGGTGTATGAGTGTATTGCTTGCATGTATGTAAGTGCACCCATGTTGTGCAATGTCCATGGAGGTCAGAAGAGGTCATCAGATTTCCTTGGAACTGGAGTTACAGATAATTGTTATCTGCCATGTGGGTGCTGGGAAACAAACCAGATGCTCTGCAAGAGCAGCCAGTGCTCTTAACCCCTGAGCCACAGCTCTGGTCACATCTTTGCCTTATTTTTAAGACACTTCTCTCATTGAACCTGGAACTCAGAGATTCAGCTAGACTGGCTGGCCTGTGAGCCTCAGGAATCGGATCTCCTTCTCAGAGCTGGCAATACAAGTGCATGCAGCCAAGTACAGACTCAGATATAGTAATTTTGAGATTTAATACTTGATCAATATAAATGGTTAAAGTTGATGAACAGATCTTGTTCATCTTTGTACCCCTGCTGTCTACTGCAGTGTATGTAGGTGCTAAGACATGTTTGTGAATGTTGGAGCATGTCTCAACATCTTGAATTGCATTTTCTTGCTCTTTCAAGTTTTCCATCTGAACCTTCTATTCTGATCTCTGACTAGAAAGAAAAAACCTAGATTAGCTTTATCTAGACTTATTTCCTTTTGCAGCTAAGATTAGTTTACTGTTCAGTAGTATGCAATACTCAGTGATAAACCAAAACAGATTTATAAGTAGCTGTGCTAGTCAACTTTCATCCAGAGAACAAAATGCCTGAGATAAACAACTTATAAGAAGAAAAGATTTATTTTTGCTCTCAGTTTCAGAAAGGGGGAAAGAAGGACAGAGGGAGGGAGAGGGATAGAGAGAGGGAGAAGGAGTAGGAGAGGGAAGAAGTGGGGAGGGAGGGAGGGAGGGAGGGACGGAGGGAGTCTTAAAGAGCATACCCAGTGGACCCCTACTAGTCCACAGTTGCAACACTTTCTAAGAGCACAGCAGGCTGGTGAGCAAGTCCCTTGAACT